ATCAAAGAAAATGAAAAAACAATAGCTCGTAAACAACTTTATAAATATAATAATTATTCTTAACATTATCTCGCCTGGAAATTGTCAATGAATTAGGCCTAATGGGGATACCACTTAAAAAAACGCAGCTGGGCAGGTGGTCGGAAGAAAGGTAGATAATAAACTAATAATAACATAGTAATGTTAAAAAAGAAAAAATTATATGAATAAAACAATATATAATAGAAAACTAAGACTAATGATTTATTTTTATGGTATTTTTACGAGTATTCAAGAACCTGGTCAAGTTCGAAAAAGAACTAGGATTTTAAGCTTATAAATATATAAAATAACTCAGACGCATCAAGATGTAGGCTTATTTATTTTTAAATGTTTGCTTTTTTACTGGTATTTATAAAAATACAATGTTCTACAACCCATAAAATCCGAGTTATCCCTTTTTTTAATTCATCGGGGCTTAATTTGTAAATATTAAGAAGTTTGAAAAGCCCAATTTGAAGGAATGAAAGTTTAAGTAGCTCTCAAAGTGTTGTAGGAGACCTCGTTGATCGTTTAGATTAAGATTTGTAGGTCCTTGTCTATTTTCTGATTTTTCAAAAACCAGTCTACCGTCGTAAGATATTGATTTTGTTTCGTGAGACCGGTCCTGAGAATTTATTCATTAGCTGCTTTCTAGCGGAGAACACCATGGGGCGCTTAATGATATCAACTAGATTTAATTCCTCAGTAATCTTTTCTTTTTGCATATTCGTTAGAAAAGTTTCCTCATGAGTCCTTACGCTAAACGATATTTTATGGAATAATAGAAGTTGATTTTGACTTTCGATAGAACCCCCGTCCTTTGATTGTTTCAGTTTGTTGATGATCAGGTCTACTTGAGCCTGATCTAGTTGACTATCACAATGGCGTCTCTGTACCATTGCCACCCTCAATGATTGTGTGACATTGCAATTTGACTTTATCTGCTCATTGGAGTTTTTAGGTCTAGCAACTCTTTGTTGCGGAGAGTAATAGAATTCTTTCGAGGTCTCTTTATGTCCTTGGGATTTTTCGATACCACCGCATCTGTTTTATGTGATCTCTGTCCCAGCAGCAATTTTTGATTTTTCTCCGATTATATTTTATTAAGGAAGACTATAGTCTCACAGAGTTGGACAGCCCTCTGAATCTAGATATATAGATAGATAGATTTAGAAAAGTGGCCTTTTGGCCTATTTCACTGTAACCTTTTCAGATCTATTGTGGTCCTCTAGTCCTAGATATTATTATGTAGCCTGGCCCTTCTTAAAAAGTCTAATAGCTTTGAGACTGTACCTTCCATATAACTATTTGTTGGTGGATTTTCTTCTCCTAATGCAAAAAACCGCACATTTGCCAGACTGTCACACTGACATATAATGTGCTCTGTTGTTCCTTCTTTGAGGTGACAAAATCTGCACAGGTCATCATCTGATAATCTCTGTTATAAACTGTTTCGCCTGTCTTTGTCCTGGTGAATTCCTTCACCATTCCAGAGATTTGTGAGCTATCCACTTCCTTGTAGCCGTTCTTGTTACTGTCTTTCCAACGCCTTAGAAGAGTTCCGGTCCAATGCATGGCGTTGATGAGCCTTGGTTGGCAATTTCATCTGCTTTTTCATTGCCCTTATGACCCTGTCTCGCGGTACCCTGGTTACCACACCCTTGCTGCGGCGTCCTAGTTTATTTAAAGTACACACACAATCCGATATGAGCTTAGAATTAACCTCTGCAGAATTGAGTGTCTAAAGTGCTGCCTGACTGTCTTGTTAAGATGGCAACTTAGCGAAACGTTCTTTCCTGTCTTTCCATTTTTTCCACGCCGTGATGCATTGCCGTTATTTCCGCCTGGAAAACTGTCACATCCTTAGATATACTTACCGGGAAATATATTATTTTATATGTCTCTACTATGCCGACTCCCACACCCTCCGAGGTTTTTGAGCCATCCGTGTACCACGTAGCAGCGACTTGTTTGGCTACACCTTCATTCCAGTCTTCCTGCTTGGTATCTTAATTGTGAACCTATTGTTAAAGCTATATCTCGTAGCTGTTGCATTGATATGTGGCCTCATCACAATCTTTATTACATCTCTGAATCTAAGACTATAAGCTTTTATAATTAACATCAGTGGAAAAATTTCAATTAAATAATAACGTTTTCCGCAAATCGCCAGGAAATTTTGACATTCCTGTCAAAATTTCTTGAAGAAAAAGTCAGGACTATCATTTCCTTACTGTAAGGAAATGATATTTCCGTACAGTTGTTAGTGTTCTACATAAATGATAGAAAACACATTGCTTATAAGGAATTAATTTATATTTTGAAAACATCAAATCATTGCTGAATACATTTTTAAGATCAATTTGTTATATTTACAGTAATTTGACAGTTAGTACAATTATTGAATATTGGAGGAACACTCTTAGAACTATGAGAAACATTTTGGACAACATGCAGGGTGGAAGTGTCATTTTGTTAAATATTTTGTACTGTGAAAATTTTATTTGCCACCTCAACCTTATTGTTAAGCGATTCTTCGATATATCCTTCAGCAACGTTTGATGACTTCCATCGGCCATGCCTCTTTAAACTAGTTATGTCGGCACCAGAGTCAACCAATATTGTTGCAGAAGACCGACGAAAGCAGTGACCAGTATATTCTGTCGGATTTACCAAGTTCAAATAAGTAGCAATTATTTTGGGCATTTTTCTAAATTGATGAATTCCTACCACTTGTCTACAACCCTTTCCGCTTTGATATTTAAAGAAAAATCGGTCACTGTTCATATTTTCTGGTCTTAACGAAACATACTTTCGATAAACATTCAAGTAGATCTGATTAATTACAAATGATCTTGGTTTGTTGGTTTTCGAATCAGGTATGCTGATTAAAAGCTTAGATTCTAAGTCTTCTATATCGTGTACAGTCATTCGGACTAATTTATCCATTCTACAGGCCCCAGAAATACCAAATATTACAGCTACCTAAAAAATAAATAAAGCTATAATCTAAATAGAAATTAAAACCTTGTAAATTACCTTAATCATTAAATTTTCTTTATCTGGAGCTTCCTGGATAAATTTTTCAATTTCTTCCTTCGTTAAAATCTTAGATTTCTTTGCCCTATAACCTTGAGCTTGCCGTTTCAATAAAGAACGAAGTTTTGAGTATGTAGATATATCTACATTGTGTTTAAGTGCAAGGGTTGACTTCAGCATTGAATAATTGGCCCATAATGTTGAAGATTTCATCTTTAAACAAAGGTCTAGGAAGTATGCCATTACAACATTTTCTGAGAAAGAACTCGTATTTTTACTCATGCGATAATCCATAAAACGTCTGTATGCATTTTCGTACTTCTCTTGATTTCTTTGGCAATAATTCTAATGAAGCAGTATTCACTGCCTCAACCAGCTCTGAAGGAGTCCCAGGAATGGAAATTTCATTATCATTTTACTTTCGAGAACACCAGCAATTAAATTTATAAGCGTCAAGTTTGACAATTCAACCTCAATACGTTTCCATAGTAACCCAAGTAATTTTATTCGAAATTTCAAAGCACCATTTATTTGGGAATAAAATTATCGCGTTTTTTTTTAAATCAATCAATATCTGTCGAATTTTAAACGATTTGCGGAAAAATAGTATGTTTACCTCGTAGGAAAAGCCACATTCCTGGACTCCGTGTTGCTAAGTCTCGGCTTGCGCCTCGACTTGGCAATCTTCACAGTCGTCCAGGAATGTTAATCTTTTCCTACCCGGTAAACAATGTACTATTGTTTGTTAAAGTAGTGTAACATTTTCTTGAAAATCGTAAGGCAGATAATTATATCGAGTTGAATTTTGCTACCTCAACAGCCATTTAGAACGATTTTCAGAAAATGTAGATGATTTTATCAGGATATTAAAACGATTGAAAATTATAACAAAGGAAGTTTAAACCACCATAAGAGGGGCGAGTATTATTTAACCCGTCAACGAGATTTTTCTGGACACTCACACTCTATATAGTCATCAATACGTTTTAGTGGCAACTAACAAATAATGTATGGTCTGTTTTTTCTTATTTCTTCATATGGGTATATATATATATATATATATATATATATATATATATATATATTATATGTATTATTCTTGATTCATATTGTTTTTTATTGAAAAGTAGTAATGTAGCATCTATAGAACTTACAAAAATTACTTTATTTAATTTTGTTAAAGACCATAGCTTCTCCTCAAAGGTATTTTAAAAAACTATAGCGGCTATAAAAAGAAAGAATAATATTTTTAAAATCAGATAATCAAAATATCTAAATGCAGTTGTTACTTCTACGGTACTAAAATGGCTATTCGCTTTGTTATTAATAAGTTTTATCTTTTTTTTTGCTTAACGAACCATTCATATAATGCAGTCATTATGTAATTTTGAAGTAAAAGTGAAAATTGTCAGTCAAGTTTTAATCAGACAAAACAAACAAAAGGAAAACATCAAGCTCAATGCATCATTCCATCTGGCAATAACGTATCTTTTGTGCTATAAAGCTCTCCCGACAAACAACACGTTTGATTTGTGGTTGCTGTGGCTAATCATCAGCCATTGATGCGTTCTGTGCTATTGACTAGTTAACTATTTATACCCAATTGGCTACCCGAACGATGTATTAGATATATAGCCCATATAAGATACAAATTATTATGATTCAAAATATTTAATTAAGAACAGATGTTTTGTAGTGAAGTATTATTGTTTATCTCAACATACCAATTAAATGATTTTTATTTATTTCAAATGTGATGAGAATATATATGAATAATACAAAAAAACATTTAATAATAATTAAGTAAGTCTTAATAATACTAATCTTCTTTAGACTTATATATTTATATTCGGAGATATTTCTCCAAAGTGAGAGGATATTTTTTATCTCTGATTTTATTTAGATATATTTTCCTTAATGTATTGTCATTTTTGTTTCAGTCATCTGGATATCCCACGCCGACCCAGCAATATCACCTGTTCATCATCGGGCAGTTCATATCTAGAACGTAGAGACTCATCGACAACTCTGGGACTTCCTCCCATGCCAGCGCACAAGTGCAAATCATCCCAGTGTCAGTTCTCCGATGTCCCGGAGTTGTACGATTTTTATTATCCCATAGATATTAGAGTTACCCATCCGACTCCCGGGGGATCCCCTTGCGGGAGTAATAGAGGACTGTACGACAGAGTTGTCGATATTCCGAATTTAAAACCGAAGCTAGCTCCTTTAGCTTCTATTAGTAGTTGTAATAGTTCATTAGGTAAGTAATTTAATGTTTCTTCGTACGGTGCCTTATCCTTAAGGACGTTGGCCATTACATTTGCCCATTTAATCTTATTTGTAGCAGCCCTGAATAGTTCTATGGATGTCATGTTCGTCCATTGCCGTAGTTTTTTAAGCCCAGAGTTGCGTTTTCTTCCTGGTCCACTTTTGCTATTGACTTTGCCTTCGATTATAAGTTGGAGCAGTTCATACTTTTGATTTTTTATGATGTGACCAAAATATTGTGTTTTCCGATCTTTTATTATAAGCATAAGCTCTCTTTCCTTATTCATCCTCCGCAAGACTTCCGCATTTGTCGTATGGCTCATGTAGGATATTCTGAGCGTTTTACGGTAACACCAGAGTTCGAATGCTTGGATTCTTTCTTTTTTTTGTGTTGCTTCTGTCATTGTCAATGTTAAATGTAAATAATTAATTTAATTACACGCAAAAATCGGGAGTCTTTATTCTCCTTGTGCCTTCATTTTCATAAAAGTTTCTTTATAGCTTATTCTTAACTTCGTTCGCTTTTCTAATTTATCTAGGTAACTATATTTTAGTACACATTCTTCTTCTTCTTGACTGGCTTTACAATTCGAGGTGAATCTTTGTTGCATCCACTATAGCCCCCCTATCTTCTACGATCTTGTGCTTTATTTTCCCATTGTTGTACTTCAATCTTAGATCGGCTTCAACATCATCCTTCCTTTTTTCTGGCCTACTGATCTTCTACTATCTGGTCTCTCAAAGAACATTGTCTTCATATCTGGTCTTACCACATGACCTGCCTATCTTATTCGGTTTGCTTTTATAGCATGTCTGATGATGTTTTCAGTATAATACTATCTATCGCGGTTATGGTAGATCGAATCAGCGCTTCTTTTGTGGGTTCTTCAGACACTTGTATCTCCTAATACGAATCCATTGTATTATCCCTATCACTCAGACTAGGCCCATATTACCAAGACTGTGGCATTTCTGGGACCTAGGTGCTCCTGGCCATATTTGTTATAATTAGCAGGGACTCCAAGTCCGATCACTTCTTGCTGTGCTGAGCATCTAATTCATTCTTGTTATTTAGAGATATTCCAAAATAAAAATACCATGTTGTTCTATATCAAAAAATATCAGATCAAAAAAATTTTTTAGACAATTAGACCCAAACCTCAAAAAAAAATAAAACGTGTTTTGTTTTTTTTTTGCAATACCTTTAGTTCCAATTATCGTAGAATATTTGGCGATTAATTAAAATTTTCAAATGGTTCTAAAATTTTTAAAATTATTTAAAAAAAAAGAAGCCACGTCAAAAAAATATATTATTCTTTTAGCATCAAGTTGTCTTTATGATTTTTCAATTTGTTTTAGGTGGGCATCATGGTCAAAATAACAAAAAATCATTTTTATTCTAGCTGTTTAAGATAGTAAAATATTCCCCGCAATATTTCAAAAATAAACAATACCATGCTAATCAGAAAGTCAACCTCCTCCTCTATCTTTTCTCCTTCATAAGTATGTAGTGGCGTCATATAATTTTTATCCAATTATGACTCTCCCCTGTGCGTGTTGTTTTGCTTCCACTCGGAGAATGAGTAACCAGCCATGTCCTTTATTCGGTCAGACCATCGTACTGTAAATCTTCCTCTGGATCTTTTACCCGCTATGTTACCTTCAACTATCATTCGCTCCATGCCTTCTCTTCTTTTAGTTATATGTATTAAATATCTTAGTATATTTTGATTGATAGGTGATGAGACTACTTTTTATGTTAAGTTCTGTTAGAATTGAGATATTTGTGCGATGGGCGGTCCATGGTCCAAGTTTTTTGTGATGTCAGCGTTCTTCCAAATTTTTGTGAGTTTGGCTGTTGTTAATCTGGCTATTTTGATGTGTCACTTCGTAACCTGTCATGTTTTTTATCTCTGCTTGGTTGTTTCTGATTCTATCGATGATCATCACTTCAGTTTTCTATATTGTCATTTTCAAACCATATTCCGTGCTTACCGTGCCTAGTACGGTAATACAGTATATATTTATAATTTGTTCCAGTTCTTCTAATGATGACGTTAATATAACAGTGTCATCAGCATAACGTAGGTTTTTGATTTTTCTTCCTCCTATCGTTGCTCTACCTTGCCATTCCTCAAACATTTGAAGCATAATATGTTCACTATATATTGAATAGAATGAGGAATATTATGCATCCCTGTCGAACTTCAGATTTTAATTTGAAGTTTTTCGAAACCACATTATTAACTTTCATATTAGCAGTATTACTTACATATAGTTTTTGTAATCAATTGATTAGATGTTCTAGCGTACTCATTTCTCTAAGTATATGCCACATTTTATCCCATTTTACGGTAGCGAAGGCCTTGGAGTCAACAAAGCATAAATATGTTTTTATGGTAAACTCTCGAGATGTTTTGTTAATGTGACGAATATGAAGAATATGTTCACTTGTTCATTTACCTGGGACGAATCCGCATTGATCTTGGGGAATTTGTGGTAAAAGAATTGATTTTGGTCTTTCATTGATGATGGTTAGAATTACTTTGCTCGCGTGTGATATCAATGCTACTGTACGGTAATTACTGCAATGTGTAGGTAAAACTTTTTTATATATGAAAATAAACGTGAGTTTACCCCAGTCATTTGGCCACTTTCCAATATTGCAGATGTCATTGCAAATTCTAAGCATTACTTACTATTTCATATTATTCTTTTGCTTTTCTGAATTTTAGCTTTTTAATTGCCGCCTTAATTTCTGATTTCAAGATATGATGTTCTTTTTCATAACTTTTTTTCTCTGTATTATTGTCTGGGTCGTGGTTAGAGAATAGTATTTCGCAATATAGTTTCCACATCTCTGCGATACCGTCTGAGTTTGTTATGGTATTTTCACTATAATCTTTGATGATTTGTGTTTGCGGTTTGAATTCTCTCACTAGATACTTGACTTTTAAGAAAAGTCCACTACATTCTTGGCGGTCAGCATGTTCCTCTAGTTGTAGACATATGTTTTTAATATAAATATTTTTGTCCCGTTTGCATAAGTATTTTATATTTGTATTTATGGTACATATCCCTATTTCTTTTTGCTTTACATTTGATGTGCCGTTTCTTTTCGTTTTCATCTTTCTTCTACAACATTGAAGTCTCTTAAGTCATCCAATGTTTTTTCCTAGCTGCTTTGTCTTTGAGATTAGTATTGTTAATGGCTTCAGTGATCCATTTCTTTGTGAATTCCCACGTTTTATTAGGGTCTCCCCTAGTAACTGGTAGATCAGCTACTGCTAATGCTTCTCTAAACTTTTCTGGCTGCTTTGGAATCAATGTTTGTCTTTATTTGTAATTATTTTACTGTGTAACTTAATGAAAAATTCTGCTTATAACATTTTGTAGTCGGACCACAGTCTACAGCTGGTTTTATCTTCACGTTGATTACTGAGCTCCTTGTTCTCACTAGAACCAGCACGAGATTATATATGTACATTATTAAAAAGTACTCAACCAAAAAAGAATTTAGACTCATGGACCCAAACATAACCTCAAAAAAAAATAAAACGTGTTTTTTCATTTTTTTACAATTAAATGATTGTCAAAATAAATGAATGGCTATTATCTTTTTGTTTGAAGCAAAATAGTTTCTTATGTATGATTTTTTGGACATTAGATATAAGCCACAGAAAGCTAACTTTAGCAAATAATCTCGATCTGGTAACAAGTTTTGCTTTAATTCACAGTATTTTTATGAAAGGAAATGCATCGTCTTGTTGAATAATGAATATAAATATTTTTTGTGTTAATCATGTGTTCCCTTACAAATTTTAACATCCAACTGCTTAATGAGGTCTCTATTGTAACCAAAGATTCTTATTTCAGCAGTCTGGGGGTAATTCATAAAAAAAATTCCTTTTTCCATTCCTTAGTTAAAAGATGATCTTCCGAAATCATATTCTGTATTTTTGATAAAATTGATAGTGTTAAAGTAGGTTTTGGAGCCCTCTAGGTAAATAGTCTTAAATACTTATCAAACTGCTTTAAACTCTTCAATTCTTATGTTTGCTCTTCTAACTGAAGGTATCTATATGGAAATAAACGTGTATCTTTATACACTTTTAACAATTACTTATAAATTTGTTTTAATGCTTTTCTTTGCAAAATTACCTGCTACCACTGCAGGATACTCAATTTTTTTCTAGATGTAAAAAATACTATAAGACCTCAAATTTGAATCGCTGTAAGCACACGAATAAGTTAACAGTTAACAATGTACTGAAGCTTGTTTAATTTAATCATTAGTATTTATTTAATTATGTATAGTATTAGGATTATTATTAATATTAAGTTGTTAATTTTTAGGAACTGATATTCCAGACTTCGAAGTACAATCATTTTCTAGCGATTCTGTATTTCAAGACGACGACGAAGATACAGAACACGAAATGGACGAATTTAGCACAAACAGCGAGGCAAACAGCGACGATAGCGACGTGGATAGTGAAAACGGCGCGTGCTATCGTGGAAGGAGCATAAGACTGACAGTTCCCGTGGATATAGAACCTATACCTTCATCAAAGTCTTCGTCGACTCTAGTAGGCCATGACAAATCTTCTTCCGAACACAGTTCTGTTATCAATTTAGATGAAAAAAAATCTTGGGTCCAAGAAACTCTATTTTGAAACAAACGCCACATATTTTTGGACAAAATGCTATCCTGTTTGTTGACAATATGCAACAATGAGTTACAAATGTTAGTCCAGGCTTAAGGTAATCATTGAAATATTTCATATATGTTTCAAATGCACAAAATAAAAAAAGTGTATATTTTTTGATTTGGTGGATTAAAGTGCTTTTTAAATCATTTATATCAAACTAGAAAAAGAGAAAATGGATGGAATTTAAAAAGAAACAAAAACATGCAAAACTAATTTATAAATAAAATGAAGGGAGTATAAATATTCTTGCTCTAAATTTAACTGACGTTTAATATCATCTTTTTAAGACCTTAATAGTATATCCTTTTGTGCTAAACAAAACCTGCATCTAAAATATACATGAAAATATAAATATTTCAATGATTATCTTAGAGGTTAAACACTATTTTATTTCTTAAATTATATGGTGAAGTCTATAAAGTTCCAAGGTATTAATACATTAACGACATCCTAAGCAATATTACTATAGTCAAATACAAGTTTTTTCTACTAATTCCGTCCCAAATGTTCAATAACAAAACTATGTCGTCATAAAACTGCAAACTAAATTTATTTTCTTTGTTTGTGTGTCCTGAATTTGTGCTTTATGCGATCCCACTTTTTATTTTAACCTTGCTGTCCCAGTTTTTATTTAGGAGCGAAGCATTCAGACTCCTTTTAATATAGTTTCGTTAAATTATTTTTTATATATAATATATATATATATATATATATATATATATATATATATATATATTATTGTGATATTTCAAGTCTTGGTGCGCCAAGCAATTAATTAATTAATTAATTAATTAAAATTATTTAAATGATATGATTATGACTCTATCACACTTTTTAATTCTCTTATCTCAGGGTTAAATTCGTGCTTCAATATCTATGCTATTACATGTGAAAGGTAAGATCCAAAGAATACCGGAATAATAAAAAACACATATGATATAACACTATATATTGAAATAAAAATAATGAAATAATTCACACTCAAATGTTTTCAATAAACAAAATCTCATATAATAATTCTCAAAATTTTGTTCTACGTACGTGAACCTTCAAAATTAATGGTACAAACAATATTAATTGAAATCTCAAAATCCCAAATTATTCTAACTCTCCTAATCAAAATATTTATATCCTTTCTAAATTAAGTGTAAAAATTGTGTTATCAATAAAAGAAAAACTGCAGAAAACAAAAATATCTCTCTCTGATGATGAGTGGTCCAAATCCTTGTTCCTTGTAGACTATATTATCTACTCTCAGGCGCTCCCTAGGTAATCAGCAATCTTACAACAAATTTATGCAAGTATCTCGTCCTTAATGATCTCCTTCAAATGCACGAATCGTTCAAATTATGCTAGCTTCTTCTTCTGTCAATAAACTGAATCTCTCGTTGGCCTGAGTGAAAAATGACTCTTGGAATATCTTTTCTTTACGATAAACTGAATCTCTCGTTGGCCTGAACAGTGACTCTTGGAATATAAGTAGAAAAATATGACTTACAATCTTTTACTGGATCAGCTTCTGTCAGATACACTAACTACACGAAAACTCACAAACTTTCACTGCTACTGCTTCCTACCTCTGGGAAACTACCCGAGAAACAACGGCCGTTCGCCTTGCACCCTTGGAAACCAACTGATTATTTTTTCTCTCTCAAAAATCTACCGCCAATCAAAGCTCGTCACAATTCTCCCATTTTTTTCATTTCGATAACAAACAAATTTTTACCTATAATTATAAAATTTCCTAAAACTTATTTACAAATAATATTTTTCTACAATTCTTAAAAACTAACAAAAACCTATCTTTCTAAAATCTATTCTATTGTCCTTAATCACTGCATTAATGTATTTGGAAAACCTGGTTCAATTGTCTTTGGATTTCACTTAAAATTATGCGGGTCACTCAAGTATATTATAACAAAGAAAATAATTTATGCATAGCTTACATTTTGTTTAATACAGGTAATCCAAAAATTTAAAGACTTTCCTTCTTCGAAATGTTTGTTGGTTATTATCCTACTTATCTGAATTATTTTAATGTTTTTGAACTTTGAAATATTTTAAACAAACCAATATTTTTCTCGATTTTACATATCATAACAATATATATATATATATATATATATATATATATATATTATATATATATATATATATATATATATGTTCTATACAGTAGAAACTCACTAATCCGGAATTTCAATAAATTGACACATCCAATACCTTCAATACCCGCGTCACTACACATCACATCGCGTATGCGCTCCGTCAAGTCAAAAAGTCTAACCTCAAAACTTATCAGGTGCACACGTGCGTACATATTTTCCTCGTTTTTTATGAGAATATTTTAGTTAAAAATGCCAAGTAAATGGAAGCACAAGACTTTGAGAGACATAATGGACATTTTGGAGAAGTTAAGTATTAAGAAAACTTGATAAATTGATAAAAGAATATGACTGTACACGATCTTAAGAAAAAAAACAAAAGATAGTGGATCACGTGAAAAGATGAAATATAAACCAGGAAAGCGTAAAACATTAATAGTTGATAAATGACCAAAGATAGAAAACTATACGCGGTTCATGCAAGAACACATACCTGTATCTGGAAAAATTCTAAAAACAAAAGATCAAATTTTATAATTACAAAGAAAGATTATGTTTGTATCAGTGTTGGATGGCTACACCCTAAATGTAACTGTGCCTTTTCCTGACCAAATCTAATGCAGACTAGAGTAGTCTTTTTTGGACACTGTTGCCCAAAAGATATTTTTTGGGTATCATCCTCTAAAGAAGCAAATACATCAGTTCGGAAAGTGAGCGAAGATGGAATCACATATATGCCGTGTTTAAATCCTGCTGGAACACACAAATTATGAGAGGTATTAAGTGAATGGTTCCATAAAGACTTTGTCCCAGAAGTGAAGAAGTTTATGTAAAATTTTAATTGTACTGACAATGCTTCAAGCCACCCAAATAAATACAATAAACTATTCGAATACCCAAACTGTACACCTTTATTGCAGATGATGGATCAAAATGTATTAAAAAAAAACAACCGAAAAAGTAAAGTTTTTGTATAAAAATAAAATTCTCATCCGTATTATTCTTCAGGATGGTGACAAAACGCACAGCCTCAAAAAATTTAATTTGAAAAATTTTGGATTCTCTCCTACCTGACTTACTTTAATCATCATGGAAAACGCCTATAATGAATGATGTATAACAAGAAACTGTGAATCTGAAAATTATCTATCTATTGCTGATTGGATTCCAAAGAAAACGGATTCCATACAAATAAAGATTTAAATTTTTGATTTAAAGGGGGTATATTATAAGGAACCGAAGAAACAAAGCAAATTATCACAGATAACCATAAGTTTAAAAAGAAAAAATAATGTTATTATCAATGGACATGAAATCCTCTTGTTCAAATAACGGCCATTAGGTTACTTTATAAATTGAAAAGGGATTGTTGTAATATAGTTTTCTACAATAAGACCATAACGGGTTATTATGGATAAAAGTAAAGTCCTCTATGCTCGATAAATGTTACCATATAAACTGCTAGAACTACCTTATTGTAACATAAACCTGTTAAAGTTTATTTGTCATGATCATGGTCAGCTCTGCTGATAAAAGCATGAAAATATCATGGACCGATCATAATATAGATATATTAGACAGCATATTTGGGGCACATACTTAGAAATAAGAAGTACGAGTTGTTGCAGCTGATTATGAAGAGCACAATCGAAGAAAAAGTCCTAGTAGATGACTAATATCCTGGCTGAAAAAACACTAGCGATAGAATCGGGTTAAATATATAGACGCTTTAAGAAGGGCAGCATATAGAGACGAATTTGCAATAGTTATAGCCAATCTTCACTAGTGGAATCGGCACTAAAAGAAGAAGAGGTAACTTCATAACGGAAAGAGGTAATTGATATAACACTAGCCATTACTAATGTTGGTAGAACTTTTAAAATGGCATTTGTCATACGAAGTATCTCTTCAGACCGTTGACGTATATGTTTTAAAATAAGGGGTTGTCATGTCAGCTACTGACATGACAACCTCAATTAAAGATTAAAAGTCAGACGAAAATCTAATCAGTCAGAATATTATATTATACAGGGTGGTGAATCGTCAAACGGGCTATAGGAAACTCAATGAGAAATTCTAAATTGTTGAATTCCTGCTTACCTAATTATTTTACACCAAAAGTCATGGGAAACTATTTATAGAGGACTCAAATATGTATCGAAAACAATTGTTAAAATTGTTCTACGACTTAAACGTATTCCAAAATTTTGCTAAAATATAATAGATTTTTCAGGCCACCCCTAAAAGTCAGGCCAGACGCCGTGAAAAGAATGTGTATTACGTGTTGCGTTTGGTCATATTGACGTTTCTAATATTTGACAATATTTAAATCAACTATGTTATATTTATCTATAATTTAAATGGCAAACATTTTGTGATTTATTATTTAAAAGAAAAATTAAGTTGATTAAAAAACGTACTCAGTTAAGGAGAAAACAGCAATAATAAAAATGTTTTATTATAACATTTGTTATAGTTTTATGTTTAGAAATTATCGTATATTATTATTAGGTATACTTCATCTAATTTAGATAACGACTTACGTCATTATCTACGTCAGAGATCGAAGTTGACATAGTTGCCAAAGTATAAAAAAATCCTGATTCCATTTTAAATCAACTAGGTCACATGATTATTGCAAAAGTATTACCATCTCTTTACAACGACTATTTAAATTCTTACGTAACATTTTTGAAATAAAACACACTAATTTTGTTCTAAAAAGAACAGATTTTATTAAATAGGTAAAAATATAAAACAAGAGGTATTCACTTTAAAATTTAAAATAATAAAGTACAAAAAGTGTCAACACCGCAACTGTCAAATAAGTGTTACCAATTTATGCCAAAATTTTACCTT